CACCTTGTTATCTCAGATTCTCCAGCATCTGCAGTTCCTACTATCTCTGAAACAATATTTGCATGTTAAGCTGTTTTTGGTGTTAATGAATGCCTTTGCAGTACTCCAAGGAGCAACATGGTATTGTTTTCAAGCAATGTACTCAAAGCTGATACTAATAGGTTACTCAATAAATTGTCAGATTTATGCTCTGGCTTAGATTAGAAAAGATGGTGTTAAATTACAAACCAGTGGAGGTAGTTGATGGAGTAGCTCCAGTGGTCTTCAATGTGCCAGCAAAAGGAGGAGAAGCACATCCCCACATAAAGCCAAGGAATTTTCATCCCAGAGATGTCTGCGTTGATGTGAGTCAATACTGACTGCTCCAGAATTGGCATGTTGTTCAAGTTCCAACCGGAACTGGCATATTCCTTTGAAAAAAAATGCAAAAACCACATAGGTGAAACACAGCAGAGTCCAAGGAGAAACTGATCTGGGGCATAAGTAGGGAATGGCAAATAAGAAAATGAGTGCAAAAGGGGTAATGCAGTGGTGGGTGAGGCAGAGAGAGGGTGTTGAGAATTTTCAGGACAGAACAATTTTCACTAACTTCCATAAAGTGGAATTTAACTTTCGAAAGTTTATCTCTGTTGAGATGCAAGGAGACACAGGAGTGACAACACTCAAGTAAAATGGAAAACAAAAAGCTCTTTCTTCCTCAAAGCCTGCTGCAGACCTACTGCATATTTCACCTGGCCCAGTTTTACCAACACAGGGATTGTATACCAAAGAAATCTGTCTACTCAAACTAGAACAAAAAGGAATGATGATGCCACATGCAGGTTTTTAGGGGCTCACGTAATCGCACACCAGTTGTAGTCTGAAACAAAAGGCTCAAATTTTCACTGCTGCTCAGCAGTAGTTTTGGAGACGCTGCAGGTGAGTGCATTGTGGGTTCAGTGATACCATGATAACTGCACAACAATACATCAGACCAGCTCCACAATATGCTTCCTCCCTCATGTTTTTTGCAGAACTAATGCACAGTAGTGAGAGAAACTATCAGCAATGGCAGGTAATTAAAAAACACAACTTTGCCAGAGTCACAAAGACTGCTGTTTACCAGTGTTCCTTTGTGGGAATTCCCAGCGACAAACATTTCCAATCACCACAACCCTAAGGAGCTCTCAGTCAATTCTGTGGCTTCCCTGCTGCTCCTAATGCTTAGGCCTTAGTTGCACTTTCACTGGTCGTGCAGCAAGATTACCAGCTTCCCTTGCAGTGGACCACATGACCTACAGCTTCAGCCTTTGGAACTCACCCAGCAAATCTCCAGTACTTTGATAACAAATAAGAGACAATCCAACAGTGGCAGTCTCCTGCAAAATTCAGCTGGAAAGTGCACTAGTACATAGAAATCACTCATGACTCAGTTCCTATTAATCAGCAAAATTCAGCTTAACATGCTAGAGTGCCACAGATTAAGTCTCAGGCAACCAAGATCAACATCAAACACTTGAGGATTAAATTAGAGAAAAGATACAAAATAAGAAGCCCTTACCTCCTCTTCAGGCATTAGCCTTCTTTTGGTCTCTTTGACTGGGAATCCGCTACCAAATTCTTTTGAGGTAATGTCAGCACCATACTCCACAATAACATCCTCCTCAATGCTGCTCACAAGTCGCCAGAACTCCTTCTCCACTAGTTCTGTTGGGACCATCTGCCAGAGCAAGAAATACAACCAGTATTTATTGATGGACTAAAAATAATGCAAGAGTGGAGGGGTAGAGGGGCGGTTAGTGACGAAAGTAGTGCCAGGAGCAGTGGTGCTTAGTCGCTGGTATGGGGAATAACTAGCATAGAGTATGTAATGGTCTGAACAGGCTGGTACAATGTTCTGTTTTTGGCTGTCCTAAATACATTTGATAAAAAGGTGCCACATATAAAGACTATCACACAAGATAAGAGCTCACAGTCCTGAAAGTGATACAAGATTGACCAACAGGATCAGGATAAGTTGATTATCCTTAGGTTGGCAAACTGTACCTAGTAGACTACCATAGGGGATCAGTACTGGGTAAAGTCCTGGCTTGCAACTTGTGTGGATGAAAGAACCTTGTACTTTAGACAATTACAAGATCTCAGGCTCCTACATTTCTGGATCAATGGATCTGCCTCAAATTCATACTCGCTTATCATCGAGCACAACTCAAATCAGAAGTATATCTTGGGTGATTGCCCCCTCTGTGATGCATCTCAAGGGTCAGCACTCTGACTCCAGCTCTGATATGGAAACGCTGATGTTGAACTGGGGTGGACAAGGTCACAACACCAGGTTATAGTCCAACAGGTTGATTTGAAAACACAAGCTTTCAGAGCCTCAGTTCTTCTTCAGGTGTTAGAGAGGTAGTATCAGACACAGAATTTATAAGTAAAAGATCAAAGGTTCACACCATTGATGAGGATGTACCAAACAAACCCAAGATGCTGTTAAATCTTTAATGAGATAGAAGGTTTTAATCGATTAATACGTATATGCCCGAATTCCTTTCGTGTCATAGTACTGTGAGAACTAAAGGTCTCAATGTAAAGAAGGTGATATTTTAGGTCAGACAATGCACGTTAGGTATGAGGTCTTGTTTAGAATCTGTTTGTGTTTTAGTACATGCACACGCAGTCAAATATGGTGTTTTATAAATTCCTACTTTAGAAATAAAACCAGTGACTCCAAACTAAAACACAAAGATTCTAAACAAGGTCTCGCACCTAACATGCATTGTTTGACTTAAAATGTCACTTCTTCTTTATATTGATAAAACCTTTAGTTCTCTCAGGACTGTGACTTAAAAGGAATTCAGGCATTTACATATGCAGATCAATCAATTAAAACCTTCTAACTGATTCAAGATTAAAACAGCATCTTAGGTTTGTTCAATACATCCCCATCAATGGCGTAAACTTTTGATTTAAACCTGAAGAAGGACGGAGGCTCAGAGCTTGTGTTTTCAAATAAACCTGTTGGACAATCACCTGGTGTTGTGTGGCTCCTAACTCCAGCTCATCGAGCCAAGATGCCTTCAGCAGCAGACACTCCAAACACTGTTTGCTATCAACCAGAACAAATCCCATCAAAAATATATTAAGACAACAGCCTATACCCTAACTACAACTTATTTTAAGTTTTACTGTCTTAATTGTAAGGAGCTACTTCCAGATGCAACAAGGTTAGTCAAACTACTCAACTTTAAGCAAAACACACTGTTTTTATGTAGAGTTAAAATACGGACAAAATAAAAGAATTGGCTTAACTGTCAGTCTATCAAAATGCTAAACAAAATAATAGATATATTAACGACCACTAATTAACTACTCCAATGTAGTAACATCCCATAAACACATCTTGGCAATGGCAAATTCAGTAAAATAGATTGACTCACTTGCAATCTAGAAGCAGGAAGAGAACTCCAACGTTTAGCTTTTAACGAGAGAAATAACAGCTTTCACATCTAGCTTCAAGACCTCAGCAACTGCAAAAAACAAACTAAAATTCCTGGTTCTGTGGCAGCTTGACCCCACCCATTCAGGCTGCTTCTATTGTTTCAACTTTTCAAAAAAATCCCCAAGGCCTCTCAAGTTGTTTACTTTATTGGCTTTAAGCAGACCGCTCGCTACCTCGGTCTCAACACCTCCATATAAGAAAAGGACAAAATACATACTTATAGCCATAAATCACCATAAACGTCTTGCCTTCTCAGCCTTGCACAAGGCGTAGTGAGCTTCACTACCATGGGTTGTGTGACTTATAAATTTATAAAAAGCACCTGAACCTTTACACTTCCCTTTCAAATACAGTCCTCCTGATTCAAGCTTGCCTTTTTGGCCTCATTTGTGGCCATGATTACTTTGCAAATATTTGTTTGAGTTACACATCAACCACAAACCCAGGCCTGTGCCATGTCAGCCAGCGAATGTATTTTCTTTTTTCAAGACATGAGAACACGACATTTTCCCCACTACCTCTCATTCGCTACTCAAAGTCAAATTAATAGAGCGCTGTCAGTCCTGCAATATCAGAACATGTGACATACATCCCATGTTATGTTATTTTCTGCATACATGCGGTCATAGGGGCACCTAATCAATTGTTCAATTTCAAACACAAAAACAGAGATTGCTGGAAAAACTCAGAAGGTCTGGCAGCATCTGTGGAAAGTAAGTAGAGTTAACATTTAGGGTGTAGTTACCATTCTTCAGAGCTGGGCCCAAAACATTGACTCTGCTTACTCTCCACAGATGCTGCCAAACCTGCTGAGCTTTTCTAACAATTTTTGATTTTCAGCATCCACAGTTCTTTGCCTTTTTATTTAATTGTTCGAATTGTTTTGCATTAATGTGTAGCAACAATAACAACCCATCACACTAAATGTGAGCTCATGGCACCATGTTAATTACTAAGACAGCACATCCTGGAGAAATTAAGAATACATTTTCAAAGTACTCTAAATAAATAATAATTGTCAGCTATCATCGTCAAGTCCGAACAACATTATACAGAACTTAGCAGGTTTATTGTGGTAAGTTGAATAAAGGCAATCCACGAGTTCAACTGCTTCTATTATGTTTTAATCATTTGCCTCAAAGTGTATTATGCTCCATCCCAGCTAGCGACTAAACGTTTAGTTTTGCAAACCCCCCTTCAAAAGGGTCTGCAAACAGTCACAGCATTCCTAGTTCAAATAAGAATTAAATATTGGCTCCTGGCTCAGTTTCAGTTGTTATACAATTACAGCTTAAATTCAATGCAGTCACTATTTTCAACACCTAGCCCCATTAACCCCTCCTCACCATTACTCAAATATCCACCCCTTCCTTACTGCCCTTACCCACTTCCAACGTTCATTTCACTGGCCCCCACCTGGACCTTGAAAACCATCTGGGTCTCACCTGCACCCAACAGTAACTATCCTCCTCTTCTTCACTAGCGCCGTCCAATCCCTAACCGCAATCAGAGCTCCCCCACCTGCAGCCTCCACTCCAGTAACTCCTACATTAATTCTCAAAATTAAACAGGTTTTGTCATTATTTTAATGCCTTTTAATTGACTGTTTTAATTTTTCAACCATGCAGGAGTCAAAAGATGCACTGCTTCACATCACTAAACAGGAGCATATGGATTTAGGGCTGTCCTGTTTTTATAGAGAATCATAAATAATGTTTGGGTGATGTTCAGAGTAAAGCACTAGGAAGGAAAGGAAGAAGAAAACGTAAATGACTCGTTCAAGAGGCTATTTATCCCAAAATAACCTCAAGTAGTTAGGCCAGCATTTACTGCCCATTCCCAATGGCCCTCAAGAAGACAACAGTGATACAACTTCCCGAACTGCTAAAGCCATGGGAGGTAAAGGATATCCACAGTGCTGTTAGGAAGGAAGATCCATGATTTTGATTCTGACAGTCATGGAACTGTATATGGTCTGTAAAAATGTAAATATTAGTTCCAAGTCAGAATGATGAGCGACTTGGAGGGTGACTTGCAGGTGGAGGAGTTGGCACATCAGTTTCCTTCTTCCTTCCAGCTGGTAGAGGTCATGGGATTGGAAGGTGCTGTCCAAGAAGCTTTGGTGAGTTGCCCCAGTGCATCTTGTAGATGGTACACACTGCAATCATTCTGCATCGATGGAGGAGTGAGAAAAAAAAAAAAGTGTTTGAGGTGATCAATTGGATGCAAATCAAACAAATCTGGACAGCGTGGAAAATGTGCACATTCAGGCAAGTGACTTGCGCCTTGTAGATGGTGGCCAAGCTTTGGAGAGGCAAAAGAGGCAAGTTACTTGCCACAGAAATCCCTGCCTCTGACATGCTCACATTGCCACAATACCTATATGGCGGGTTCAGTTCAGTTTCTGGCTGACATCATGGATTGATGTGGAACAATGGATAGATTCTCTTTGTTAACGGTTATTGCCTGGCATGTGTATGGCATGAATACTTGCTACTTATTAGCCCAAACTGTCCAAGTCTTACTGCATATGGGCATCTGAGGAGTCATGAATGGTGATGAACATTGTGCAAAAATCAGCTAATATTGCTGTGTCTGATATTATAATGGAGGAATAGCAACATCTCCCTTTTTGCTGGCTCCGACTTCAAACAATGAAGAGCCCTCCACCGCCGCCGCCGCCCCCGCCCCGTGCCCACTAACAACAGCAACCCCCCACCTCCCCAACCAATTCCCATTGATTGCTGTCTTGCTTGGAGATCCTTGCTGCCACAGTCAAAATTATTCTACAAGCACTGCAGACATAACAAAAGATACTCACATGTACTGGCATGTTGAAGTAGTCAGACTTGAAATTATCTGCCATCTCACCAAAGCTTTGGAGTGTGTACTCCCTGACTGCCTGCTCAAAGCCAAATGCCTCAGGAGGTTTACTGCATGCCTATGTACACAGAGGACAGAGAAAAAGGAAAGATGAATGCTAAGGTTATAGGAAAATTCAAGCTCATTCCTGACATTATATTCTTATTTCCATTTGTACAAACAAGTACTTCATTCCTATAAACCAGCAACAGGTTTGGTAGTAGGAAAGCTTTACAAATGATAATTTGGGACAAACTGAACAGTCAATTAGACAACGACAGAATAAAGCTTATATGGATTTGTTAAAGACGAACTGTGTTTGAATAACTGTATTGAAATTTTTAACCAAGGAATAAATTTTGGATGAAGGTAGCACATTTAATCCAGAATATGTTATCAAACCTCTTTGGAAAATCAAAGTGCTATGTAAATCAGTTGGTCAACAAAGTTGAAACCAATGACAGAGGTAGGAGAGTAGTAGTTGTGAATGGCTGTTTTGAGCCTGAAGAAAGGGACACAATGAGGGGTTCCCCATATTGGTAATAGGGCAATGAAGGCAAAATGGAGATGCTGAAAATCTGAAACAAGCAAACAATATTGGAGAAACTTAGCAATATCTGTGGATAGAAAAAAATAGCTTCGAGTTAAGGCTGTTGCTTGCTTTTGATGTGAGATTTCAATACTCGCACAGATGACACCAAGTTTACACATATTGTGATTTGTCAGAAGGCTGGTGGAACGGGCCAGCAGTTGACATTTAATTTTGTGCATTGGCACATTTTAGTTGGAAGGAATGAGGCAAGGCAATAGGTAAAATTGAGTGTAGAAACTAGATTTGGGGATTCCTAACTTCTCTTCTAAAATGGTTAGCACTGCTGCCTCACAGCGCCAGGAGCCTGGGTTCGATTCCATCCTCAGACAACTGTCTGTGTGGATATGAGGAATGTTTGAGGACTATACTCATTGGAGTTTTAGAAGGAGAAGGAATCTAATTGAAACTTTCAGAATACTGAATGGCCTGGACAGAGTGGATGTTGGGAAGATGCTTCCATTGGTAGGAGAGACTAGGACCTGAGGGCACAGCCTCAGAGTAAAGGGAAGACCTTTTGGAACAGAGATAAGGAGAAACGTCTTCTGCCAGAGAGGGGTGAATCTATGGAATTCACTGCCACAGAAGGCTGTGGAGACCAGGTTATGGAGTACATTTAAGACTGAGATAGATAGGTTCTTGATTGTCAAGGGGATCAAGGGTCACGGGGAGGAAGTAGAAGAATGGGGTTAATAAATTTATCAGCCATGATTGAATGGCTGAGCGGCCTGATTTCTGCTCCTGTGTCTTATGGTCTTATAGAGTTTGCACATTCTCCCCGTGTCTGCATGGGTTTCCTCCCAGTCCAAAGATGTGCAGGCTAGGTGAATTAGCCATGCTAAATTGCCCAGTGTTCAGGGATGTGTAGATTAGGTGGGATGCTCCTAAGGTTGGTGTGGACTGGTTGGGCCAAAGGGCCTGTTTCCACACTGTAGGGATTTAATGAATAATTCCCTTAAGTAAATCTAACAAGATGCAACCACAAGTCCATGTTTTAACAAGTAATTAACTTCAGAATCCATCTTCTTCTAGACATGATGGGAACTAGACTAACCATGAGTCCATTTGCCTCTCTTCCTTGTTGAGATCAAGCCAAGGAGATGAAAAATGTGCTTCTAATTGCCAAAAGGCATTAAAAAAATCCTCGATATACTCCATGGCAAAAGTTTGGTACACACTTATGACCTTGGCAGGACCAAAAAAATGCTGCAACATATGTGCAACGAGAATATTACCTGTCATTTACCCCCCTCATACACATTCTTGACTTTTTCTTTTAAAAGCAGACAAACAGAAAATGGAATAAATCACACGACTGCTCTGCCATTCAAAATGTTTATGGCTGACCTTCAGCTTCAACTCCTTTCCCACCCACCCTCTACATCTCTCAGAAGTTCTACAGCAGGGAACTCAATTGAGGTGAATTACAAGAGCTCATATCACATGCCAAGATGCATGGTGCATTGGTAAGCATGTGGGACAGCATGAAGGAGCATTCACAGAACCACCTAGCACCTCTTACAAAGTGAGCCATGAACAGAAATTAAGGCACCCTGCTTTTTGCTGGAAATTATGAGTCTGTGTTGAAGCCATTCCTTTGTGCCCTGGAAGGACTGAGCACTGCTAGATCAACATGTCTGTAACCAGTGTCTCAGCTTCCACTACAGGACAAGCGAGGGGCTTCTTAACATCACACTGCTGCAGCAGAAACAAAAGGGTCCAAAAAAAAAAAAAAAAAAAAAAAAAAAAAAAAAAAAAAAACCCTGCAGTCCCTCTCAGCCAACGTCAGCAGCTTGCCAACAGGCACACTGCAGCCATTGAAGTAGCACTTGGCTGGGAGAATGAAGCCAAACAAGACTGCTCACACTCCAAGCAATACAAGATTCAGGAGCAGTTGTGTTTTTTTTGACATTGTTAATATGAAGGCAGGACAACATGACCAACTGTACGATTTCACTATTGGCCCTCCCTGGTTGCTTTTGACAATGGATATCTGGTTGGGGAATAGGGTGTATTACTTGGTATGGGGAGTTCCTTGTAACAGAATTGAAACTCTCAAGCTACTTTGCATGTGCCCAATTGGTGACTATTCCTCTTCGTCCTCAACCTGTGAAGTGGACAGCATCTGACTCATAGGGAATCTACCACCCAGCCGAATCCAGGCACCCCATTACCCCGCCTTGCATTCTTCAGAAGAGAACTGAGTTCCCTCTAATTGCAAAGAATACTTCTTCAAATGCTTACGAACTGTATTATAGTACCTGTTCCTCCAGGAGCAGCATAAAAACAGTTGGATGATCACCAACACAAGTTTGGTACAAAGGAATAGCACAAATCTGATAACCTGCCTCATGAGACACAGCCTCCCTAAGCACTACCATTGACTAAATGTGCTGTCCGAGTCATTCTCCCAAAACCGTACAAAACTCTGGTGCGGCTGCACTTGGAGTATTGCGTACAGTTCTGGTCACCGCATTATAGGAAGGATGTGGAAGCATTGGAAAGGGTGCAGAGGAGATTTACCAGGATGTTGCCTGGTATGGAGGGAAGGTCTTATGAGGAAAGGCTGAGGGACTTGAGGCTGTTTTCGTTAGAGAGAAGAAGGTTAAGAGGTGACTTAATAGAGACGTACAAGATGATCAGAGGATTAGATAGAGTGGACAGTGGGAGCCTTTTTCCTCGGATGGTGATGGCTAGCACGAGGGGACATAGCTTTAAATTGAGGGGTGATAGATATAGGATAGATGTTCTTTACTGTAGTAAGGGCGTGGAATGCCCTGCCTGCAAAAGTAGTAGACTCGCCAACTTTAAGGGCATTTAAATGGTCATTGGATAAACATATGGATGATAATGGAATAGTTTAGGTTAGATGGGCTTCAGATTGTTGCGCCGACCTGTGAAACCATCGAGGGCCGAAGGGCCTGTACTGCGCTGTAACGTTCTATGTTCTACGTTCTATAACATTTTGTAGCTAGCACCTTCTCCCCTCTACCTACAGGACTTTCCAGTATGCTGCCTCCTCTCCATGTCCTGAGCACGTTACACTTATAATAGCACGATAACAACTGCACCTGTATTGAAAAATCAGTCAGAGCCCTTCAGCCCACTAAATCTGCACTGACATCGAGACTAATCCCACTTTCTACCACGTGGCACGCAGTCTTGAATGTTCTGACATTTCAACTGCCAATCGATGAACTTTTAAAGGTGGTCAAGGTTTCCTACCTCTCTCTCTCTATTAACCCCTCCCACACCCCCACAGGCTGTGCATTCCAGGCTCCCACTACCTCTGGTGGAAAAAAAAAACACTTTCCTCAAATTCCCTCTAAACCTGCCTGTCCTTCACTTAATATTATACCTCCTCGTTGGTGAACTTTCAGCTAAGCTGCTTTCAATTCACCTTTTTATGCCTCTCAATCTTACAATCAGGTCATACCCTCAATCTTTTCTGCTCCAAAGAAAACAGCCCAAGCTTATTCAATCTCTTAGCTACAGTGATTTATCCCAGGCAACATCCTGAAAGTTTTCTGCACCCCCTTCAGTGCAGTCACATCCTTCCTTCTGTGTGGTGACCAGAACTGGGAACGGTACTCCAGTTGTGACCTAGGTCAAAAGTTCTGTACAGTTCAAACATGACATCCTTACTCTTATAATCTATTCCTCTACTGATAAAAGTGTCCTATATGCCTTTTCAACTTCCCTGTTAACCTGTCCTGCCATCTTCACCCCTATCACCCCACCTCTGTCCCTCCAAGCTTCCTACTATCCTGCCATCCACAGCCATCTTTCCTTGTCTTATTTCTTCTGAGGTGCATTACCTCATACTTAACAGGATGAAATTCCATCTGTCACTGATCTTCTCATCAAACCAATCCATCTATATTTTCTTGTAACCCACTACTTCCTCAATTAATAACCCAGCCAATCTTTGAGTCATCCAAAAACTTCCCACGTGCTTTTATATTCTTCAAACTTCCATGTGAAAATTTGTCAAGGGTTTTGCTGAAATCCATATAAGCTACATCAACTGCACCTGGTCACCTCAAAACAAAAAAAAAAGAAAAGAAAAGAAATGCATCGGGCATGGCCTCCATCCATAAAAAGTGATTTTGCTATCCCTGATCAAATCTGGTGTCTCTCGATGGAGATCAATTCACTCCAGTCATGAACAGTGGTTGACAATTGAACAGCTCACTGGAGAAGGCAGCTCCACAAACATCCCCATCTTTGGTGATAGAAGAGACCAACACAACAGTGCGAAAGAAAAGGCTGAAGCATTGGCAGCAATCTTCTGCCAGAATTACCAAGTGGATCACCCATCTCGGCCTCCTCCAGTGATCCCCTGCATCACAGATACTAGTCTTCAGCCAATTCGATTCACTCCATGTGACATCAAGAAACAATTGGAGGCACTGGACAGTGCAAAGGCTAGGGACCCTGACAACAGTACTGAAGACTTGTGCTCCAGAACATGCCACCTCCTAGTCAAGCTCTTCCAGTCCAGTTGCAACCTACCATCTACCCAACAATGTGGAAAATTGTCCAGGTACATCTTCTATATAAAAAGCAGGACAAGTCAAACCCAGCCAATTACCATCCCATCAGTCTGCTCTCATTCATCAGCAAAATAATGGAAGGTGCCATCACCAGGGCTGTCAAGCAATACCTGCTCAGCAATAACCAGCTCAGTTTCAACCAGTTTGGGTTTGCCCAGAAACAAACAAACAGTCAGCTCCTGACCTCATTACAGCTTGCTTCAAAGATAGACAAAACAACTGAATTCCAAAAGGTGCAGTGAGAGCGACAGCCCTTGACATTAAGGCTGCATTCGAGCCAGGGTGGCATCAAGGAGCCACAGCAAAACAGGAATCAATGGGTATCAGGAGACAAACTTTCTGCTGGTTGCAGTCATACCTAGCACAGAGGAAGACAGTCATGGTTGTTGGAGGTCATTCATCTCAGCACTAGGACATGTCTGCAGTTCTTCAGGGACAGTCCTAGGCACAATCATCTTCAGCTGTTTTACCATTGGCCTTCTCTCCAACATAAGGTCAGAAGTGGGGATTGATTCTTCAGAAGATGAGGGGTGAAACACAGCCTTGGAAGATAAAAATATCCTCCAAGACCCACAAGTCATCAGAGTCTGACAGAGATAGTAGGAACTGCAGATGCTGGAGAATCTGAGATAACAAAGTATAGAGCTGGATGAACACAGCAGGCCAAGCAGCATCAGAGGAACAGGAAGGCTGACGTTTCCGGCCTAGACCCTTCTTCAGCCATCAGAGTCTGATACATGTTTTTACAAAATAAATTGTATATGAAATCAAAGGCTTGGATATAAAACTCTGCAGTGCAAAATAGAAAAAGTTTATGCATCAAACCCCAATTATGCAATTTATCCATCACCCATTTTTCCAGCCATGGAAATGAATGTTTAGCATGTGGGAGAACTTCTATATGTTTTAAAGCTAGAAAAGTGGAAAAAACACACAATTTGCTGCACTTGTGATTTAGAAAATGTCCTAAATAACCAGTAAAGTAATAAAAATATGCAGTAAAACAGCTGCTCATCAGGATGAAGTCAATTCACGCAAAAATTACCATTACAAAAGTGGGCTGAGCTTACTTACAAGCAAGCTGAACTGGGCACTTCATCACTTCAATCCTCTGGCAACATGAAATAAAAACCACCAACATCTTACCTCTGCCACACACTTAGGGCATCTCCAATCTCCCTTGGGCACATCCATGAGGGGAGGAATGAGACAGAAAGTGTGGTAACTGTCATCACATCCATCACAGAGCAGTAAGCGGTCTTCATCATCCCCACGTGCACACACAAGGCAGACATACAGGTCAATCTGCAAGAGATAAACAAATCAATAAGGGAAAGTGCAAAGTATGAGCTCTCATGTTCGCTGCTAATTGAAACAACTCATACCTTTGCAGCTTTACAGACATTACTAACATTTCTGACTGTGATAGAATGGTCATAATCAATCAGCACAGAAGCAGACCCTTCGGTCCAACTGATCCACGTCAACCATTTTCCCAAACTAAACCAGTCCTGTTCGCCTGCATTTGACCTATATCCCTCCAAACTTTTCCTTTTCATGCATTTATCCAAGTGTATTTTAAAATGTTGTAACTGAACAATGACAATTCATACTTCGTAATACATGCAGTGGCACGTGGACAGAGTCTCACACAGAAAATGGCTTGACCATCATCATGGTCCAGGTATGACCATGTGCACTGACAATGCGACACTAGATTCCTTCACATAGCAAAGCTCCACAAACACCAGGAATCTGTTACTTGATGCTGAAATCACTGCAGCAGATACATGGAGACATCACCACTTGCAAGTCCCCATCCAAGCACATACTATCTTGACTTAGAATTATATCACCTTCCCTTCACTATCACTGGGTCAAAAGCCTAGAATTCCCTTCCAACAGCAAAGTGTCACTATATCCTGAGGACATCTGCAGTTGAAAAAGGCAGCTCATCACCGTACTCTCCAAGGCCACTAGGGACGGGCAATAAATGCTGACCAAGTCAGCAAGACCCACATCCCACAAATTTTTTTTTAAAAAGCTGCAGATGTTGTTACAAATCAAGCAGAGGAGCATGGGATACTAGCAGCTTGCTTGGTGTTCTCCATCTGTGAAGTCGACGAAGCCCGCATTCTCTCAAGCCCTACAATGTAGACCTATACAACATGAGCTAAGGAAAAGGCAGGACTATTTCTTCACCTCTCTTAGAAGAGCAAGGTCACAAACTCAGGGGTCTCCAAACAGTACTAATTCCATCAGCATACTCTAATTACTTAGTCAATGATGCCTGCCACTTATAGGTGATGGCCCTAACCTTTGCTGGGTCAGCCGAAATAAGAAAGATACATGAAGCATGCTCTATTGAAACATCAATTGGTTGGGCTATGTCTCAAATGTTTTCTGAAGGGATGTGTGTGTACCAAAATTAAGTGCTATAACTCAAAAAAAAAGTGAAAGCATGTCTGAGTGAGTTCAGATTTAAAACACAGTCTATTAGATGTGGAATCTAACATTTGTCAATAAAACAAGATGCAGTTGATCAGTCTTTTTTTGTAAATATCACAGTTAATTAGACTACACAACACTGGAAGTGAATAACTTAGGAGCAGCTTGAGCAAACTGGTCTGAAGACAAGGTTAACTGAAAACTGAAAGACAAGTCTCTTTCCTATGATATAACCCATGATAGATAGCCTACATAAGCTGGGTGTGAACGGACAAGACAGAAACAGGAACACAGAAAATAAAGCAGAAATAGGCCATTTGTGCCTTTGAGCCTGCATCACCATTCAATTGAATTGTGACTAATCATCCAACTCATACCTTGTTCCACTTTCTCCCTCTATCTTTGATCCCTTAATCCCCAACAATTACTTCTAACTCCTTGAAAACATTCAATGTTGTGGTCTCAACTATTTTCCATGGAAATGAATTATACAGGTTCACCATTCTCAGTGAAGAAACTTCTCATCTCAGTCCTAAATGGCTTACCCTACATCCTAAGACTGTGACCCCTCCTTCCTGTGTTTACCCTGTCTCAGCCTGTTTCTCAGAATCTAGAATCCCCCTCATTCTTCTAAACTCCCAATGGATCTATTCTTAACCAATCCAGTTTCTCTTCATACATCAGTCCTACCATCCCAGGAATCAGTCTGGTAAACCTTTGTTGCATCCTCCATAACTAGAACATCCTTCCGCAGATCAGTAGGAGACCAAAACTGTACACAAATATTCCAGGTGTGGTTTCAAGGCCCTGTACAACTGCAGCAAGATATCCTTACTCCTGTACTCGAATCCTCTCACTATGAAGGCGAACATACCACTGCCTCAAAATCCCTCTAGACCTCCTGCATATTCTTTCAGTGACTGGTGTATAAGGACACCCACGTCTTGTTGCACCTTACCCTTTCCCAAACTACTGCCATCCAGATAATAATCTGCTTTCCTGTTTTTGATGCCAAAGTGAATAACCTCATTTATCCACATTATACTTGATCTGCCATGCACTTTTCCAATCAGCTGGTCCAAATCACACTGCGCATTTGAATGAATGAATTAGTTTTATTGTCACACCCCTGTAAGCACCTTACAGCTCATCCTCCTACCCAGCTTTGTCATCTGCAAACTTGGAGATATCATATTTAGTTCCCACATCTATATCGTTAATATATATTGAATAGCTGGGGTCCAAGCACTGATCCCTGTGGTATCCCATGAGACACTGCCTGCTACTCAAAAAAAAACCTGTTCATTCTCTTCTTTGCTTCCTGCCTACCAACAGGTTCTCTAGCAAAGTCAGTTGTACACTATCCCTAATCTATGTGCTTTAATTATGCATGTATTATCTTTTGACTTTGTTAAAATCCTTCCGAAAGTGCAACTAAACATACAAATCTCCCCTTATCACCTTGATTACAGACATCCATGAAAAATTTCCAGTGGATTTGCCAAGCGATGCTGACTCAGTTCAATTCCCATCACTGTTTTCCTAAGTACACTGTCATTAAATGGACTTAGCATTTTCACTATCACCGATGTCAGACTAAACAGTTTATAATTCTGTGTTTTCTCTTTTTTAAAGTAGTGAGGTTACATTAGCCATTCTCCAATCCCTAGGAACTGTTCCAGAGTCGATAACATTTTGAAAAGTGACCATCAATGCATCCACTATTTCAAGAACCACTTCCTTAAGTACTCGGATGTAATTTATCAGGCCCTGGGGATTTATTAGCCTTTAAACTCAAATTCCCCAACATAATTTCCCTACTAATGGTCATTTCCTTCAGTCCGGTTCTCCTTTACCACACATTGTGTATTAAAATATGGAATCAAGAATTTTACTAGACAGAAGTAGACCATTCAACCCATCACACTTATCAGCTTTTGAAAGAGCTACCCAATAGTCCCAATCTCAAACCCTATCTCCATAGCCCTATAAATTCATTACTTCCAAATATTTTTCAACTCTCTTTAGAAATCTACTGTGGAATTTGCCTCTCCCAGGCAGTGCATTCCAACTTGAAATTGCTCATTTCACTTAGCTCTCTTGCTGAATTTTGAAATTGTGAACCCTAGTTACTAATATAACAACTAATGAAAACAGAATATCCTTTTTTACCTTTTCAAAGTTCCTCATAATTTTGAACACCTCAATGGAGGTTGCCTCTCCAAGGACAGCATAGAATCACAGAATTCCCTCAGTGTGAAAGCAGGCCATTCGGCCAATTGGGCTCACACCACCCCTCTGAAGAGCACTCTCACCCAGGCCCACCCCACCCTGTAACCCTGCACTTCCCATAGCTAATCCACCTAGCCTGCACATCCCTGGACACTACGGGCAATTTAGAATGGCCAGTCTACCTAATCTGCACATCTTTGGATTGTGGGAAGAAACCAGAGCACCTGGAGGAAACCCACACAGACACGGGGAGAATATGCAAACTCCATACAAATAGTCGCCCAAGGGTGGAATCGAACCTAGGTCACTGGCGCTGTGAAGCAGCAGTGCTAACCACTGAGGAATAGCATCACTTCCTTGCTTTTATGCTCTCTGCCACTATTTATAAACCCAAAGATCCTAAAAGCCCTCAAAACTGTTTCAACTTTCCTGGCCACCTTCAGAGAATTATACACTTGAACTCCAGAGTCTCTCAACTCCGGTCCTCCCTTCAAAGTTGTACCATTGAACCTGTATTGTCTCTCCACATTTCTCCTACCAAAATGCATTACCTCACATTTCTCTTCATTGAAATTCATCTCCCGGATGTCTGTTCATTTGGCAACTTTACTATTTAAAGGTCTGGATTCTCTTTCACATTAGTCGTCAACATCTTCTCATTCTCCTTCCACCCACTCACCACCCCCCATTACAGAGTAGTTTTTACTTCCCCGTTGAACTTTCTACATTCAACTTGGTTCTCACTTATGTTATCCACCAGACATGTGTCACAAACATCTTTCCTCTGTTTTATTGTATGCTATCATGCAGGGAGCTCAGGCTTTGGCTATCCCACTTGCCTCCTAAAGGAAATGTACCTAGATGGCACTGAAATTCTCCACTCTATAAAAACAGTTCGCTGTTCAATTGCAGTTATACTTGCCATTCTTTGATACCAATTTACTGAGGCAGATCAGTTCACAAACCAGTAAAATTAGCTTAAATATTTTTACTCAAGATCAGTTGAGAAAGAACACGGATCACCCATATCATATCAGCTTGTAATGTTTTCCTATTAACACTTGATCCACTTGATTTTGCAGAACCAACAGTGCCCTGTAGCATGTTCAACAAGAAAAATGTGATCAAGCAAAGTCTCCTGAACACACACCTGCTGTTTGTCATTTATATAAACAATTTGGATGAGAATAAAGGAGGCATGGTTAATAAGTTTGTAGATGACACCAAAATTGGTGATATAATGGTTACCTAAAAGTACAACGGGATCTTGATTGGCTGAGCCAATGGTCTGACAAGTGGCAGACGGGGTTTAGTTTAGACAACCGCAGATGTTGCACTTTGGTAAAACAAACAAGGGCAGGACTTACCCAGTTAAATGGTAAAGCCTGGGGGAAATGTCAAACAGAGAGGCCTAGGGGTCAAGTGCATTGTTCCTTCAAAGTGGCGTCACAGGGAATCAGGATGGTGAAGGCAAGCACGTCAAACACCGCCTTTAACTCGGTCACAGCATTGAGTACAAGAGTTGGGACATCATGTTGCAGCTGTACAGCAATTGGTGAGGCCACCTTTGGGGTACTGTGTACAGCCCTGCTACAGGAAGGATATTATTATTATTTGAAAGAGTGCAGACAAAATTTACAAGGATGTTATCAGGATTAGAGGGTTTAAGTGATAAGGAAAGGCTGGGGCTTGTTTTCCCCCTGGAGTATTGGAGGCCGAGGGGTGACCTTATAGGGGGTTTTTAAAATCATGAGTGGCATAGGTAAGGTGAATGGCCATAAGGTCTTTTCCCGAAGGGTGGGGCATTCTAATGTAGAGGGATGAGATAACAAGGTGTAGAGCTGGATGAACACAGCAGGCCAAGCAGCACCAGAGGAGCAGGAAGGCTGACGTTTTGGGCCTAGACCCATCTTCATGTCAGCCTTCCTGCTCCTCTGATGCTGCTTGGCCTGCTGTGTTCATCCAGCTCTACACCTTGTTATCTCAGATTCTCTAGCATCTGCAGTTCCTACCAGCTCTGAACTAATCTAGGAGGGCATAGTTTTAAGGTTGAGAGGGGGAAGATTTAAAAAAGGGAGCTGAGGGGCAATCTTTTCACACATCGGATGGTGTGTATATGGAATAAACTGCCAGAAGAAGTGGTAGATGCAAGTACAGTTACAACATTTTAAAAAAATATTTGGACAGCTACATGATTAGGAAAGGTTCTGAGGGATATGGGACCTGTTCAGTTTGGGATACTTGGCCAGAATGAACAAGTGGGACTTAAGGGTCTGTTTCTGTGCTGTATGACTCTATATAAAAAAAAAAAAAAAAAAAAAAAAAAAAAAAACTTTCCCCATTTTGTCCTGGACCTGATTCCTTTCCCAATCTAGATTAGAATATGAAGTGTCCCATGATCACTGTTCTTACACCTCTTTAGCTTGCATAATCATATAAAGTGACGGTAGTAGAGTGTGGCTGCTTATATTTTTTTATTTGATTTATTGTTGTCACATGTACCGAGACACAGTGAAAAGTGTTCTTGTGTGCTCTACAGGCAGATCGTACCAAACTGCATGATGGCAAGAGAACAGACTGCAAAATAGTGTTATAGCCACACAGAAGGTGCCGAGTGAGAGATCAACATTAACATTTGAGCGGTCCATTCAAAAGTGAGATAACAGCAGGGAAGAAGCTGTTCTTGAATCTGTTCACGTGTATGCAGACTTTTATATCTTCTGCCCTATGGAAGAGAGGGGAAGAGCTTAGGAGGGGTCTTTTATTATTCAAATCTAATGAGAAAGGGTTGAGCAATGCTGAAGATGAAGAACTGAAAGCAACACAATTATCACAACAAAACCTCCCATTTACAGGGTCCAGAGAGAAAAAGAAAAAGGAAATTCGAAACAAAAACTGCATTTATTTTAGATACATCAAGTCAATAAAACACATCATGCAGCAGCCTAACTGAACTTACAAAGTTAACTGCCAGGGCTCCTTTCCGCTGTCTCATTTGCATACGAGGTAATTGCATCTCTGCATTCTTCTTGTGCCCTGTTGATCGCAGAGTCACAGAAAACTCTTCATCTGACAAGAAAACGAGCCCAATAATTGAGTAAAATATCTTCATCCAACACACAAAGTAGCAGCAGAAAAAGCAGTAGACAACCATTCGACCTCTCAATCTTATTCTGTCATTCAATAAAGTCACGGCAAACGTGTTTGCATTTCAAATTCTACATGTCCATTTACCTCACTCCTGATAACCTTTGACTCCCTTGCTCAACTAGCTCTGCCTTAAAATATTCAATGACCAACTGAGCACAAAAGATGTGGACGACAAGTTTCTGGAGTGTGCTAGGGATGCCATTCCAAAGCAGTATGTTGAAGAGCCAACTAGAAGACATGCTATTTTAGATCTAGTTTCACACAATTAAAAACGGCTAATTAACAATCTTGTTGTAAAAGAATCTACAGGACCCAAAAGCATGAATGATTGATTAAAGAACACACAACAGGATCTCACTTAACATGGTTGCACTCCTGAAAGAGTAACGTTAAAGCACATCAGATTTTCCAAATGTGAAAAAACTGTAATTAAGTTCTGTCAGAATTTTAAAATCGGTGAAAACAAAAGTTAAAATGCATTATATTGCTAAATCCCCAGCTTTGCAAGTGAAATAACTTTAAAAATAAAAACAAATTCAGAATCAAAGGGAACTCTGACTTTATTTACCTCCAGCTCTCCATAACACTTAACTGGTTCTAACACCCCAACTTTCTGCCACCAACTACACCTTCTCACCACCGGTCTCAACCAGCTCCCTGACTTGCTGATTGTCCCACTGCTCTCCGACCTACCTCCAGTATTTTAATTTGCAACAAATCCCATTCATCACGGACATTGGATCCCATGTGCAGTAGGGCCACTATTTTGAATCTTGCTATCTCCCAATCTCTGGAACTGAAAACTTATCTTCAATCACAGTGTCTTCATTTTTTCCAGATTAAACTGCTGCACCAGATCTCTTGGGCTGACCACAGCAGGGATTCTGAAATGTTCTCCTTAAACCCCTTCACCTCAGCTTCTTCCTTTACGGCAGTCCTTAAAACCTGCCCCTTGGGCCAATCTATTGATCATCTGCACTGATATTTCCATGCAGCTCAGTGCCATGTTATGTAACACCTCAGCAAAGTGCACTGCTTGATTTTATTATATTAAAAAGGTGTTATGTAAACAAGTTGGCCAGGGTGTTGGAGAGTGGGAGGGTGGAGGTCACGGTGGCCAGGCAGGGGCTGGTCAGGATGGGCAACAGTGCCTTTTCATGAGATGGGAAGTGGTTGGTTGTGAACCAGGGCAGTACATTAGGTTCCTCAAACAAAAGGCCCTAAGACCTAGGAGCCCATCGAGTCTGCTCCACCATTCAATCATAGCTGATAAGTTTCTCAACCCCATTCTCCTGCTTTCTCCGTATAACCCTTGATCCCTTCATACATCAAGATGGCGGCAGTGGAGTAGGCAGTGTTCAGGCTCCTCAGCCCAGAGCTGATCAATCCATCCACTTGTATCACCCTTCTTTTTTTCTCCACTCTTTATTTTCTAAGATTTTAAAAAGTGATTTTTTTTTTCCTGATCAGAAAACTTACCTCGGAGCTAGCCAGGGACCCAGTGTGGCCAAGGGTCAGGGAGGGCTGGAGGCATGTAGCAGCGCAGAGCAGAGAGGGCTGCAGCGGAGCAGAGAGGGGACAGCTGTTGGACTGAGGTCTGACATTGGTAGTCAGCAACTTGCAAGGCTGGTCAAACCATGAGTGGAAGCTCCTGCACTGAACTACCGCAATGTAACGTTTATCTGTAATCTGTTTATCTGACTATAATGTTTATCCTTTTAACTATGTCTTATTTCTAACTTATACTATGTATCACTATAAGGTATTGCAACTTTTCTTTTTATTCCTCTTTGTATCTAAGATTTGTACCGAGGTACTTTGTACCCGAGATGCAACCATGAGAGGCGACATTATAAACTTTTCACTGTATTCGTGTACTTCTGTACTTAAGTACACATGACAATAAAGCATATTCCGTTGTGAATCCAACAAGGGATCAGGCTATTTGTTAGGAGGCAAAAAAGTTATTGCAGAATAAATGATGCCCAAGACAATAGTCAGTAACATTTAACATCTCAATCAAGAAACATGGGTCAGAAACAACTGCTAAACTTAAATAAGGGCAATCACATGTAATTGAGGGCCAAGTCAGTTGGAATGGACTAGGAAAATAATTTAGCAGAAAAGACTGCTGAGGAACAAAAAACAGTAGATGTTTTAACAAAAAATAGTTCATGACTCACTGCAAAGACATATCCTAGTGACGAAGGAGGATTCTAGGAAGGGGCTAAATCAAACATGGTTAACCAAAGAAGTTAAGGATAGTATCAAATTGGAAGAAAAACATAATGCGGCAAGGATTCATAGCAAATCAGAGAATCAGTGAAAGTCTTAAAATCCAAAACGCAATTTTAAAAAGGGATGAACATAAGCTGTTACGTAAGACTAGCAAGTAACATAACAAAAAAGACGGTAAGAGTTTCTTAGATAACAAGGTGTAGAGCTGGATGAACGCAGCAGGCCAAGCAGCACCATAGGAGCAGGAAAGCTGACGTTTCAGGCCGAGACCCTCCTTCAGAAATGGGAGAGGGGAAGGGGGTTCCGAAATAAATAGGGAGAGAGGGGGAGGCGGATAGAAGATGGATAGAGGAGAAGATAGGTGGAGAGGAGACAGTAAAGGAGAGTGTAGGTGGGGAGGTAGGGAGGAGATCGGTCACTCCGGGGAGGACGGACAGGTCAAGGGGGCGGGATGAGATTAGTAGGTAGGAGATGGGGGTGGG